CCCCAAAACCCCAAAACCCCAAGTTACTCTTGTCATTAAAACTTAATATTCGAAGTTGATATTCATTAAATTATTATATATTAATTTACATGATGGATTGGAATAAAAATGATCTAAAAAAGAAGAGTCACTCTGAGTATAACAAGGGCGATAATTTAATCCACTATATCATTTTAATGAAGCTATAGACTGGACTAAAAGTGAAACTTTTAATACTAATTCTAAGCTCGTTATTTACGATTTAAGCAATGTCAGTTGTAGATAAGGACACAATGCATGTTTAAGGAAGTGGAGGTCCATATATGAGACTTTAAAATCCTCTATCTACACTTCCTGATAGCAGCAAAATAGGAATATATAGCTTTTGGTTTAGAATGTAATGTTCTGATATATATTCAACATCCTTGCAAAAAGGTATATTGATAGACTTTTTAGTTACTCCTCAAGCAAGGTTGACAATGTATAAGTAGGATATAGGTGTGAATTGAAATTGCTATACGAGCTTCGAAATAAATTCGTAATCAAAGCAACAGTTTACTATCAAAGATAATATTTGGACTAACTACATGATTGGATTTCAAAACAATAATAAGACCTGGATTTTGAAACAATAGGCAACTGCGTACACCATTAATACAGGAATCAATACCTACAAGCATTAGCCTACAATATCAGTCTACGAAAATCTTAAATACAATGAAGACGATGATTCAAAAGTTTTAAGATCGAATGAGATAACATTCTGGGCAGTAGATCAAACAAAATATTCATTAGATGACTTTTTTGAAAGGTACTATGGAATAACTTTTAAGATGTTTTCTACCTATTAGTCAGTTTATCTTGTAGATTTTTATGCGACTTAGCTGCGTGACACTTAAACGAGTACATGGGCAGCTAATTATAATAACTCGTTTGCATCACAGTAAATGTTATCAAGTAAAATAAAATGGTTCAACTCCGCTAAATACAAATAGCTTTGTCACCCAGGATACAGAAACAACCATGATCAGAATAAATGTGTTTAATGCTAATCACCTTGCAAAGAGTGCAGCTTTTAGTCAGAGTCTAAATGTATGTCTTGTCCTTTTGGATATGTTCTAAGCAATTATGACTGCACTCCTGTTGAATGCACTAAAGGATAGTACTTTGATATGGAAATAGGTAACTGCAAAGCTTGTCCTGCTCCATGCACAACTTGCGATGATAACTAGAAATGCACCTATTGTGTTTCAGGTTACAAATATGTTGATGATGGTTCAAAGCAGTGCCTCTTAAATACAGACCCTTGTCCTGGTAATACTTACATTGATCCAGATGGATTCCCTATTTGTAGAAAATGTGGGGATGGCTGCTATAATTGCACAGATTCCACTACTTGCTTAAACTGTTATTCTGGGTTCTTTTTAACTAACGGTAAATGTGAGTTTTAAAAATGCCCTCCAGGTACTTATAATGATACGACAGCAATATCATGTAAAAACTGCAGTTCCGGTTGTGATAATTGCTTTTCCTCTACAACATGTAATTAATGTCAAGAGGGTTATTACAACTAGAACGGCTAGTGTAAAACATCCTGTCCTGTTGGGCACTTTAAGAATGGTATTTCTAATGCCTGCTAAAAGTGCCAAGCAGACTGTCTCACATGTTAAGATAATAATTATACTTGTACAAGTTGTGCAACTGGATCTTATCTTTATCAGAATAGGTGCATTAAGAGTTGCCCATTAATTGGATATTTTTATAATACTGTTAGCAAAGAATGCACAGCATGTGACCCTAAGTGTGAGATGTGTATTGCAAGTGCTACAGATTGTGTTTCTTGTAAAACTGGATATCTATAATTGGATAGAAAATGCCAAGCAAATTGTGACGACAAATATTATGCAACTACGACTAAATGCTATCCTTGTGATATATCTTGCTCATAATGCTAAGGATCAACTAATACATAGTGTCAAGCATGCAATAATGGATATTATTTAATGGGAAGTAGTTGCATTAGTAGTTGCCCTCTTCCCTACTTTGGTGATCCTTCTACAAGATAGTGTTCAGATTGTCGATATTACTGTGATAGATGTACTGGTTTTTCTAACTGTAACTAATGCAAATACGGTTACATCCCTACTGCGAACGGTCTAGATTGTAATGGCGAGTATTTTTTGAAGACTTCCTAGACATAAAGATTAGAATTACCTATTAATCCCAGCAAAATATCAGCTACTATCCCATTAATACAAGCAACTGTAGAAATTTGGTTCAAATCAGATAATATACTTAGTAGTAATACAGAAGTAATATTAGGTATGACTCCATATAAGCTAAGAAAGAAATAAGGAGTTAACTTAATCCAATTAATATATCAAGGGCAGTTATTCTATTGTGAAAATGTAAACGCTGAAATGAAGAGTGATTTATGGTATCATTTTGCTTTCACTCTAAATTAGGCTAATAAAGCATTAAAATGTTATTTTGATGGAGAGTCCTACGATATTGGTACTACTCTACCATCATTAATAGCCTCTGACATAGTTAGACCTGAAGAACTAGTGTTAGGCGGAACTACTTCAGTTACAGGATTTGAAAAAAATTTTAATGGATTACTTAGAGAATTCAGATTTTGGAATATTACTAGATCAGATTTTGATGTTAAACATTTTAGATACATTGATGTGGGAAGTTATTCAATAAAAATGATTGCATATTGGAAATTAGATGAAAAAAATGATGGCTCTGTTACTAAATACAAGGATTCAGCTAGTGGTTCACTAACTTTGGATCCTTAGACTATATCACCTGCTCTTTCTGTTTAAACAATGCAATAAATGAAAGAAGTATATTTAAAAACATGTTCTGAAGGTTATTATCCTTAGTATGATGAAAAGAAAGGGTATTTTCAATGCAAGCTATGTAATAGCTAGTGTAAGAATTGCAAGGGTCCTAATGCTAATGATTGTACTGACTGTAATTTACCTTAAAAGTTGATTTAAGATAGTCATACCTGCGTGATATTAGAAAAATGTCCGGATGAATTCTATTAAGATGAATAGTCTGGACTTTGCTTTAAATGCAATTAGTTTTGCAAGAATTGTATTGCAAATTCCAACAACTGCCCACAGTGTAAAGTCGGATTTTTCAGAGAATATTAAGGGATAGGATGTGTTGATAAGTGTCCAAATGGGATGTATGGAAATTATTAGACTTAAGAATGTTTGGTAAATCCAAGAGTAGATTATCTTACTCCTCCAAATTAAGAGATCTTGGCTCATGGTAGCATAATCGAACTCTAAGCTGATTTCACAATGCTAAATGATGAGAATATTAAAATGTACAATTACGGTTGGAAAGTTATAAAAAATAATGGATAGATTGATATTTCTGTTGATGCCGTGAAATAGTATTATTAAACCAGCTTGAAAAAAGTTAGGCTTGATAATAACATAATTCGACCGAATAATTGGTATACAATTACATTCTATGTATCTGGAAATGATAGTTTTGTTAAAGGAATGTATTCACACATCACTCATCAAATCTATATAGGTATGCCACCCAGAGGAGGCAAATGCTAAATTTCTCCTTTAATTGGAATTGCTTAAGTTACCTAGTTTTCTATAAAGCAAATGCAATGGGTAGATGAAGAACCGCTATACAGATATGACTATTTTTACTCAACGGATGGAGGATAAATATATATTCCAATAGAAACTGATGATATTGATTTATAGAGCATCAACCATACATTTACCTCAACATATGACAAGTACACAGAAGTAAGAATTAGATGTCAGGTGACGAATACAAAGGGCTTCTCAAATATGGCAAATACTATCATTACCCTTGAAAGAAAGTCGAATGCAAATGCTTTTAATGATCTGAAAAGTATAAATCCAGAAAACTTAGATACAGAACTCGAATTCATATAGGCTGTGCACTAACTCAAGCTTATCTCAAAGGATCTTGGAGATTTAGACGATATTGATTATAGAAATTTCGATCCAAAGCTTGAAAAGTCTTAATGCAACTCAAAATAATGCTACAACAGGGGAAACTGTATCTATCTATCATTTTCAAAGCAATACTACTGCAACTGCACTGCTCCATATAGTGGGTAAAACTGTTCATTTGCAGACTAGGCATAGCAGAATATGATCAAAACTCTGGTTGAAGAAATCTCTATATCCTATAGTAATCTTCCAAGCAAAGGCTATGAGTTGGAATTCTTGAAGCTTTGCTCATTTTACACTGATCAAATAAATGAAGCCTCATTTGGGGTTCTCCTCTCTATTTTGAATTACAAAATCATAAATCAGCGAGAAGAGGGCACTCTAAATGATGATGCTATTGTAACTAATCTCAATATTCTTTCCAATTTAATAGAATACTTAAGACAGCAATAAGTGATGTATAATGTGACTAAGTCAACTGCAGTTAAAAATATCTAGTTATTTGAACTACTCTAATAATCATTAGAAACATTTGAAATTCTTCGGCAATAAAGTTTAAATCAAATCAATAATCTGACTCCAGAAAAGCAATTCATTTCAAGAATGTTATCTTACAAACAGATAATGATAAACTAAGAATCATTGATCAATATTTAAGCTTCAAACAGCACAAAGAAAAACTAAAAGACTTGGATAAAAATCTCTCCAATAAACTTCTAAGGCATGACAGTTAATGTACCTTTGGAGTAAAACTTTATCGTAGAAACGATTGAGTATGCTTTCAATCCATATCAGATAATTAACACTTAAAACGTAGCTGGAAACATTTTTGACATTAAATTCTACAATGCTTCTAGTGGGAGTCAAGCATTTATTAATAATCTCACTAATGGATTTCAATTGAGTTTTCCGATCTTAGATAATTATAATCTATCTGAATTTATGAATTAGTATAATGATCTTAGCCCCTATAAAGCAATATAAAACTTACAAAGAACTAAAATGCTAGCAGCAAGCAATTTAAGCTGTATTTATTGGGATAATTTAATTAGCAAATGGTCTAAAAACGGATGTGTGCTTTTGGGGAATGACAAAACACATATCTAATGCTCTTGTAATCACCTAACATCATTTTCAATTCAATTTAAGACGCCTAATGTCGCTTCTACATAAATAGAATAAAAATCTGAAAAATATTAACCATCTTAGTTTACTGAAGGTGGGGAAATAAGTCTTACTGACCTCAGGGTCCCTTTAAAATACTACATGAAAAATCTTTAAGAGCTCTTGCAACATAAGCAGCCAGATCCTCTGGAGTTCTTCCTAAAGCCGGGAATTTATGTGATAGTGATTTTCTGGTTCATGTATATTACTGGAGTTGTTTATTACTCAGGAAGAGACTAAAAGCGAAGATATAAAATGACAAAGTCATAGAATAGAGATGACCTTGCAGAGATCACGAACCCTAATGATCAAAATCTTATGGATATCATTAAAGAGTTGATAGTAAAAGATTATACCAAAAAGAAAGAAAAAATTGATTTGAAGACCTTAGAGAGCCCACCGAAGATTAAAAATAAATAAGGGTCAAGTATGAGTTTATTAAATGTAAATAGAAGTGGATCAAAGAATAAACCATATGAGATAGTTTTGGAGGAATTAGAAATTTCAGATACTAATGAATAGCGGAACTCACTATCTGTATCACCTTAAGAACCATAAGACTCTAAAACCAAGATATTTGAATTTAAAATGTATGAAGACTTGTCCCCATCATCTAAGAAGTAATATAAAAAGAGAGCTTAGAAAAAGATTTTAGGCAGAGTGGGAAGCGTAAGCGAAAGAGCTAGAAGGTTCTTTAAGAAAATATTAAAGAACTTTGATGAACCGGCCGAGAGGAAGAACTAGTTTTTCTACGAATCATTAAAGAGCACTTTATGGATGGGACTTATGTCTACCACAAGTAAAGTAGCTCCGAGACATGTAAGACTTACACTATTGTACCTATATGTTTCGCTGCATTTGATAATTAGTAGCTGTATCTATATATTTGGATATAGCGATCAAATTTAAGAACTAGTTAAGGAGGAAATGATAAGCTATGCTTTTGGAGCTATTTTTACTCTGGTTATTCCTTGGATTATTTGTGTTCCTGTTGCACTGATTTTTAGAATGCCTCTGTCAGTGAGAAGATAGTTAGAAGGTGTTAAGACAAGGAAAATCAATATGGCCTTCATAGAATTAGATCAGTAGATGAGTGCTCGCTATGCTATTGGATACTTTATTTGCTACACAATTTATATTCTGATGACGCTGATAGTAATTTTTTTCAACTACGTTTATCCTTCAGATTACTGCTTGAAGTGGTTTTATTAACTTATTGTGATATATTTCTTGGACTTGATTATTTTTACTTTCGGATATGCTGGCTTCTAGCTTATTAATGCTATTATAGCTATGAAACTTAAGTTTTACTATAGAGTATGGGCTTTTTTCGAGATTATTAGATACTATAAAAATCTTAGAGGCTGAAAAAGGTTGGAAATTAAATTATAAACTAAAAAAATTAATAAATAATGAGTTCAGTGGGCATTCATTATTATAAGGAATAATATCAATTTAATATTTGATTTAAGATTTTATTTTATTTGCTTGATTTGATCACAAGGGGTTTTGGGGTTTTGGGG